TTCGTCTCACTCCTCTCGTAACTTAGAACTCAAAATAAAGCTCTATACCTAACATTCCAACAAGAGTGAATGAAAGCATAATTTTCACGATCGCATAAAACACAATTGCTCCAATTTCACTGTACAAAAGGTTGCGGAACGACTGAATGACTGGAATTGGAAAATCCACCGTTTTCAAATTATTCAGGGAGAGGAAGACATGGGGAAAAGTGAAATGTCTCAAGGATATTCCAGAACTTCTCGATGAAAACACAAGATACGCAAATCGAATAAAAGTTCCCTATTATTATTTTAAGAAAGGGGTAATTCTTTTTAGATCCCAATATTCCCAACATCCCCAATATTTTTTAATTTAAACTGAATAGAGATCAAATCAGATGATAGATGGTAGTAAAAACCCGATAACAGATGATTATTTTTCCTAATATCACCAGTAACAGGTGCCCGTTTAGTATGCAGTCTACCTAAGCTTATTTCCTTATTTTTGGTTAGTTTATTGTTGATATTGTTGTTAATGGAGCAACTATAAACTAACAAAAACTAACCAACTAATAACTTTTGGTCAGGATACTAACTAAGATAAGCTTAGCTAGATCGCATACTACGATATAAAAATTGAATGCAAAACTAAAGCCGAGAAAATAGAAACAACCTAGATACTGAAAATGCTTAATTTTACATCTGGTTATAGTTAACTGTCACTTGACATTTTATATCAAGCAAAGCAGCCAATTTTATTATTCAAATTCGATTATACAAAGTATTCCTTAAGGATGTGGTGTTATAAGCATAAATCTTGAGTTCAGTTAAAAATTAAGTTATTATTTTTCTAGGTATGTCCTAAGGAAAAGCCTAAATGGCTTAATTAAATACAAAAAAAATCATTTAAATTGGCTGTTATTGTTCACGTCAGGGTTCATAAATTCAAAATAAATTAGTTTTAGCTCTCTACTGAATAAAATTGAATGAAAAATATACAGCAGTATCACAATTTTTAATTAAATAATTAGCACGCAGTAGCATGAATTACCACAGCATAGAACTTTGAAATGGACTATAAAACAAAACAGACTATTTAGTAAGAATCTTTAATTTACAACTTTTAGCTGACTTAGCCAAATGATCATTATATTTACCACAGTAACTTTTCAGAAGACCGTGTAAGTAATTACTATGGTTGACATGTGAACAATCGTATGAATAGTCATTTATGATCGACAGACAGATGCCCGTTGTCTAAAACATAACTTATGTAACACAGCACCAATAGCCTAGCAAATAAGAGATCATGGGTATGTCATCACTGACCGAGTCACTGACATTCTCTAAATTAGTTTCTATTAATATAATATCAGGATCGTTTTGTTCAATTTGTAGCCAAGGCTGACTTTTGCCAAATCTTTTTTCCAAATCATCCGCTTGAAGTTTACCTAACAGGATATTTCAAGTTCATTAAAACAATATCGTTTAACTTCTGTCATTGATTTAGAACCTTAGATTTTTTATCCAAAAGATAAGTTATGTTCCTTTTTAACATTTATGATTTTTAACAACCAAACTAATATAATTGTAAAGGCATCAGCAGTACCACTTGCAAAATTTCGATTGGCAAATTGAGTAGGAATAGCTTCTCGTTTTTGCACTAATTTAACATAAGCATTAAAATTAAGAAAAAAGCGGATCGCCGCGGTATTTTGTGAATTAGTTAAAAATTAATAACGCATGCTCACTTGCCAAATTATTCTTCTTTATAGTAAATAATTCCATTTTCGGCCAGTTTTACAGAAAATAGCCAAAAATCCTTTTCAGTTATAGGCGATCGATTTTAGTATTAATTTCAAAAAATTGACGTTCCATTATATAACAGTTAGAACTGATGTTCTTGACGCACATGAGCATATTTTATTTCATGTAAAAAATAATAAAAAGTTAAAAGTTGGCAAACTTTTTAGTTTAGTAAAATTGCATGTCAACCTAGATCCACAAAAGAACCATTAAGTAATTCTTAATTCAAACGTGAAGGGAAAAATTAACCTCGCACAAAACAGAAAATATGTGGGGCACGCCCTCATGGCCGGCCGCCACCTGTCGCCACATTACTGAGCCCTTGTAGTTTCAGTCCCGAATCACCTCAGTTTAATGAACCTGTATATGCCTTGCGCGAATCCTCGACGGAAGTCGGCAATGGGCGAATGATCCTGGTAGTCTTGCCCAACAGCTATCTGTGAAACGCATCATTGAATTGAATATGCCTTGCGCAGATAAGTTCCGAAAAATGTGACGGATGGAGGGGTGGCCTTGAAGTATATTTAGTTTTGGTTAGTTTTTGTCCCCTTTTGTCCTTTCTTCCCTAGTATTAGTATCATACTTACTTAACGGTAATTTTCCTAAATTGCTCTCGGCCATAATGTCAAATTTCAAACAGCGCCATTATGAAACAATTGGTACTTGTTGATACTTTTAAAATGGGACAACAGTCCGCTCTCACTTGCCGGGTGTTGGACCCGAGAAAATATCGTTGAATACAAAAATCCAAAATATCTATAAATTGATATTAAAAGAAAAACAGACAGATTAGAAGAAATATACTGTCTCAGTGCTACAAAAATTTCAAATGACGAATTGTAAAGCAATGAAACTTATGCTTTACAATAACAAGCAAGATAATTCAGAAAGAAACAAAGAATTTCAATACAGAGAAGCGCTAGGAATTTTACTTTACTTTGTTAGATACCTAACCTAAAATTTTCTTTTTATTATTTACTTTTTACTAATGCCTTATGGGAAGATTTTATTTTGTTACAATTTATATAAAACTTAATTAGCTCGTAGGTATATTCCTCATTTCATACATTTTGTTTATCAAACAAATCTTAAGTGGAGTAGACATAAATATAATTTAATATCCTAAACACAAACACTTTTAATAGCATCACTTCTAATCGAACATGAAAAGACTTTTTTTCTACTCCCGTCTGTAAAATACCTAATTACACACCGATCTAGCGTGCGGGAAGCGTCACTTTACTACGTCAGTTTCGTTTCCCACGAATCCGAACCATTTCGGACATTTCCGGGATTTTACCGCACGGATTTGGGAGCAATCGGATGTTTTCGGAGATATTTCCCACGCTTTGAATTTTGACGTTTGTCAATTCTGACGGTCATGTCAGAGAATGTATTGGCGTTGTTTTGCGAAAATGTACCCAAAAACTAACGGTCGTAGAAAAAGTATAGTATGCAACCAAGATTTTGGATTAACGTACGAGAAAGAAGGACAAACAAAATGAGTTACTAATGTATTGTGATTGAGACTGATGACAGAAAGAGCATAAATGGATATGTCATTTTTTACTGTGATGCTCCTATTCGATGCTGTTCAAGAAATTGTAGCCCTGTATAGTACTAAAGCTGGATTTATATCTGTTGTTGATTGCACCAAGGAACTTTTGTAACTCCAGTATCTGATAGAAGAGAAGCTGAATGTGACATTGAGAGTTGACAACTAAAGTGCACTGAAGATGATAAGGAATGGTCAGATTTTATTAGTTGGCAATTTAGTGAAGGCTTAGTCAAGTTTGAATATTGTAGCTCAGAGTTTCAGGTAACTGATATATTTACTAAACCTCTTGATGTAAACAATTTTAATAAGTTTAGAGCTGATTCGTTTAATTAAAATTTTCTCTTTTAAGAATTCTTAGGAGAGGGTGTTAGAAATAAATACGATAGGTACTTAATAACTGTTAAATTCGGTGAATGCGCAAGCCAGTATTAAAGATCTTAAGTTAGGTAGGCAACATGTAAAGCTTTTAAGTTAAGGAGTGAGATGTATTCCGTGCTCCTCATGGTGCAGCGTTTTCCGATATTAAAATTAACTATTTAAAAACTCATTTTATTAAAATTCATTAAAAAAACAGCATGCTCTAATGGTTAAACATTTTACATGAATCTTACTCGCCTACTTGGTTATATAACGCTGTCCGCGTTGGTCGGATGTCGGGTACGGAAAACGGAAATCCTGCGCGCTACTCGTTTGCTGCAGTCAGTGCAATGCAAATTTTCTATGTTCTTACGTGAAAACATTTTGTAAAATGATGATAAATCCTTAAGATTTTATCCGCCTTGTCCATGAAAGAACTGTCCTACTGCAGCATAACACTGAAGTTCTACTAAATTTTCAAAATTTTTAAAATGCTTAAGCTGACTTGTGTGACTTTCTTTAAATAAACCAGTATAAACGAAGGTGTGTTTTAAAATGAAATTTTTCTTACCTAAGAAATATCGACAACCTTTTTTCAGAACAAATGCAGTCTTTAGATATTGTGTTTCGATAGTTTTTCATGAAAACTCAAATGTAACATGGACATTTTAACAAAACTTCCTCCCTTCTTCCCTCACTTCTCAACCGAGTTGTTGAACTGTTTAGAATAAAAGGATTCAACACAGTTAAAAAAATCTCCGTGCAGTTTAATAAAATAAAATTAGTGAAAAATATAATAGGATAAAATAAATGCAGATCAACGGAACAACGCATTTACTTTGAGGGTTAACTAATTACCTAAAAACGGTCGTAAAAAGTGACCCATGTGGCCGATATTATTCAGAAGTAGCAATTCAAAAAAGGCATAAAAGTAACAACACCCTTGAATAGCAAAATGTCTAAAAGATACAGATGTTAAAGGCAATTCGCAAACAATACAATTTATTAGTCTTCATGAATCTCAACATGAGTGATTAAATTTTGTTAAAGTTAGCCGTTCTCCCAGCTCTTGCTGTTTTCTTTTAAAATAATACATCACAACAAAAGTTTAGTTCACGTCCATCATCTACAGTCGCTTTGAGTAGTGGGAAACATTTCCCGTTTCGATCGACTCGGCTAGTGTGAACAAACGCGACAACATCCCTGAATCAAAGGTGAGGTTGATTTTTGAAGAAAAAAGGTTAACCTAACTTTAAATTAGGATAGAAGCAATCAGTTCAATTTTTGTACTAAAAAACATTTATTATTATTGAACAGACTCATAATATATTCTGAAAACAAGAATGCACACATAAATAAAAGTTTTTTTATTTTTAACAAACGTTTAACTGCGATTCATTCTATTGCCCCACCCTCGTCTGTGGTCATCTTTAAATTCATCACGGGCTCTCATTTTCTGAATATATTCTTCATTGTCCTGTTCTTCTTTATTTTCCGTTTCTTCTGCTATTACATCCTCATCATTGATCTTCATTTACAACCATAAAAAATTTCACATATAAATCTGAATAATGTGGAGTTATATAAACTTACAGATGCTCCTGATAATGCAGCATCTTGCAAACTCATTGGCGCCGTCCTTGGTTTATTTGGATCTGGAAAAACTCCTTCTGCAACTCTCTTGTCATAAAACTCTTGTACTGTCATAGTAGCTAAAGATGGATAACCAGCTCCATAAACCTAATATTAGGAAAAAATCACAATATCGCAATATTTGTTTTTGCAATAAGGTCTATTAAAACATAAAACACCAGCAAGAGGCGTTAAAATACGTAAACAAATATTTGTGCAACACTCCTATAAAAAATTAAAATTCAAATTACATACTGCTTTTTGAACTTCATCTCTAGTAATAATTATAGGCTTCAAAGGAGGAGGTTTTTCTCTTGGAGTATTAGGAATGTCATCGCTCTTAATTTTGGCCCTATGTTCCAGTATAGGTTTTTCCATTTCAATGCTAATCAGCTCATCAATAACCTCATGGATAAATACTTTAATCATAGTTAGGAAATAATTTCTTTTAATCTCTTCATCAACATGTTCATTTTCAACATCTTGCTTTAAACTTTCTAGGCAGGTCTGCAACTGCTTCTTTTCATTAAATCTTAAAGACAAAAACATAACTCATGTATTTTCCAAAGGAAATCAAACAGTTACCTTTGTATTTTGTTGGCTCGGGTATTTACAGCATGTCTTAACTGCTCAAATTCATCTTCTGTTCTTGTTTCATTGTCTTTAGTTTTATTTTCTTTAACAACATAATTACTTAGACCATATTCATTTGTACGTTTTAAAAAATCAATAAAATATATTTCTGCCACTTCTATAATATCCTTTCTTTCCCCGCTAGTTAATTTAAGAGAAAGAAGACCCAATAGGGCCGGTAATAACAAGTACTGAATATCATTTGTAGCCAATTCATCAATAGTCTCATTGTTACTGAAAATATTTGCCAATGAAACTAGAGGAGTTGCTTGCTCAAAATACTTCATACATTTCTTGATACTTAACTGGAAATAAATGATTAGTAAACATAATCACAAGCTGGTTTCCTTTACCTGAGTATCTAAGCTATTCGTCGGCTCCTTGCTATTTTGTATATTATTGAACAAATCCAGACCCTCATGAAAAATGGATGAAAGTTGAATGTTTTCAATGTCTGACATTGCGGTAACAATAAAAATATGTGATGAATTTTAATATTTGTTTACTCAACCAAATGTGATGGGCAATTCTTCTTTATCTAGATTCTATAAGTTTGGCATAATGTGTCAATAGCATGAGGATAGAATCAACATTTGAATCAATTCAATTAAGTTCAAGTATGCGTTTCACAAAAAATGTTGGGCACGACTGCTAGGATCATTCGCCCATTGCCGACTTCCGTCGAGGATCTTCGCTTTTGGTCATGGACCAACACGTACAAAGACATATAACCAATATTTGCTCAACTAGCAAAAAAACAAATTTGACCGATACCAAAAAAAAACCGACACCCCCGCTTCCGCCAAGGACCAACCGGGCCCATCCGGCCTCTATACCGGCGTGAACGGGGAAAAACGAAGGGATCGGCGACGATTATCACTTTACAACGTTCACAAAACACTGAAAACACTAAATCCACTCAGTGGAGACCGATTTCAAAATTTTTGGACGATTACAACGGATTTTGTAGGGAACGAACGGAGGTTAAACCGCCGCGTGCAATGTTCCACCACAGAATCCAATTCAATTCAATTATGCGTTTCACAAAAAATGTTGGGCTAGACTGCTAGGATCATTCACCCATTGCCGACTTCCGTCGAGGATTTTCGTTTCTGGTCAATGACCACCACGTACAAAGAAGAAAAATAACCAATAATTTGCTCAGCTAGCAAAAAACGATTCTGATCGATACCAAAAAAATCGGCTTCCCCCCGCTTCCACCACGGACCATCCGGGCCCATCCGGCCTCCATACCGGCGTGAACAGGGAAAAACGACGGGGCCGACGACGATTATCACTTTAAAACGTACACTAAATACTCAAAACACTAAATCCACACCGTGGAAACCGATATCAAACTTTTGGGACGAATACAAGGGATTCTGTCGGGAGCGAACGGAGGTTAAACCGCCGCGTGCAATCATTTGAATCAATTCAATTCAATGATGCTTTCCTCTAAAACATTTGGGCAAGACTGCTATAATCATTCGCCCATTGCCGACTTCCGTTGAGGATATAACATTTAAATCGTATTAATTTTTCTTCTTTTGCATTCAGAATACGTTTCGCTATTGTAGAGGTCGTGTTGGTTTGTCACGAATTTGTATTTTGAAATTTTTCAATAGAAAAAGGACAGCTAGTAATGGGGATTTTAGTCTTTGTCTTGCCTCTTTTTTTTATATATGTAATAAATCAGGCACTGGGAACGGGTTGTACTTGTTGTTTAATTATTTTATTTAATAAAGCACTGGGATGTACTCGTTTAATTATTTTATTTACCGTTACTAAAATCATTTATGTGTTATTATTTGATGAATAAACATTATTTTCTTTGCATATTTGTAAAAAATGAAATTTACAATAATCTAAATTTTTAAAAAACCTCCGAATAAAGCGCATACAAAGTGATATACTTAGAAATTCAAAATTCTTAAGACGTTTCTAATGTTTTAGAGAACTTGATTCAACATAGCAGTTTGAATTTTGGCAGGAGCATTATTTCAAATAATGGCACAAAGAATTTCCTTCTTAAAAAGGGGAAAGTTGAAAATCTTTAAAATATTTGTGACAAAGTAATGGGTAAAGAATACCAAGATACTGTTTGACTTTTAATTTATAAATATTACGCCCAAATAAACGTTATCTTGTCATACAAATGATAAAATTAAATTAACAATTTTCTTTATTATAGATGGAAATACTTTAGTTTATGACAAAGACAAGAATACTGATTGTCTCCATCTACATAAAATTATAATCATAAGTATTTGTTCTTTTGACAAAAAAAGTTGACTTTCGGCGCAATACCAAAAAAGGCTTCCTATTCTTTTTCTGACAAGGATAATAAACATTCAGATGCTGACCATTATTTTTGAACGCACCCTATAATTTTAAACAACCTCTCTCGAGAGTTAAGGTACAAACTTCTTCATTTCTCAATATTCCTTGGTCAAGTGTATACATACAGTAAGCCAAATACCAAAGAAAAGTTCCTCCTTAAATCAACAATTTATTATTAAAATAAGCAATGATAACACAAACTTACATTGCAATAATTAGCAATTCTTTTGTATATGTTAAAAATGAATACAAAACAAAGATTCGTAAATTATATAACGTTTCACTGTTGTCAACTATTGTTTAAAATATTCTTAAGGGTAAAAGCTAATTTACAAAGCGGTAGACCAATAACATTGTTGCAGTCCCCTTCAATTCTGGTAACAAAAGTACTGGCAATGCCTTGGATGCCATACCCACCAGCCTTTCCTCTGCAAAAAATTAATTAAATTAGTAATTTATTTAAAGTATTTTTAAAAACTTACATGTGTTCTCCTGTATCAATGTATGCCAAAATTTCTGCATCTGTAAGGTGGGCCATATGAACAGTGGTCACTTCTGTAAATTTGTGGATTTTATTTTTATACCAGATAATTACCCCAGTATACACAAAATTAGGAAGTCCTGCCTTTGTTAATCTAAAGAAATTCTAGTTAGCTGTTTGGTTGTTAAAACTTATACTAAAAAACTCACTCTGATATTGTTTTAATGGCTTCCTCTCTAGTTTTTGGTTTTCCAAACATTTTCCCATTATATACGACCATTGTATCAGAAGCTATTATAATGTCGGGTTGTCTACTATCATTTTTCAATTTCTCATAAACATCATTTAGCTTACCAAGAGCAGTATTTTCCACAAAATCAGAAAATGTATGTTCTCTGGGATCTAAATCTTCTTCATAATTGGAAGGAACTACTTCAAAATTTAAATTCTGTAAGTTTCAATTTCATACATTTGTTAGAATCTGACCAATAAAGCATTAACTTCTTACCGTACTGCTCAACAAATTAGCTCTTTGTTTAGAACCACTTGCTAAAACAACTCTCATGTTATTTAGCTTACCCAACAACGGTTCCAACATAATGATGGGCTAGGAAGAAATAACTGTGCATTATCAGTTTGATGAGGCTATAGTTATACCTAGGATAACTATATCCATAATGTGAAAATTCGGTCAATATCTCTAACCTCTCATTCTTCTTTTCTACTTGCTTATTGTGGGTCTTTTTAATGTTAGCATATTCATATATTTATGGATTGTTCATTACACTTATAAAGTCTCAATTAAAAGGAGTCTGGAAAATACCATCACTTCCCATTTTGCTTACCGTGCTTGGGTGGAGACGAGGTGGATGCCTCTTATGGCCGTATACATCATTGCACTGTTGCTCTTATATAACGCGAATCAGTGAACTCGGTGTAGATCGAGTATGTCATATTTGTTTTTCATTTTTTCCTTAATTTATTTTATAAATACTTGTGACTGGGTGAAAAAGTCCAAATGCACAACACATTGATAAAATAGCTGAGTTTGTTTTGGCCGAATTATCCTGGTAATTTGTCTCAATAACAGTAAAAAAATAGGATTGATATTAAATTTGACACTTTTGAATGGATTAACCTCTTAATAACTCAAAATTTTCTCAAATTAAGAAATTTTTCTTAAAACAATGTTTCGTACTACATATTCATTGGTATTTTTTAGAAATTCGGTGCATCCCAAACCCATAATGTTTGTTCGAAATCTAAGTGCGGCAGAAGTTTCTACAGCTTTGAGGCCATTTTATTTTTCAGTTCATCCTGATTTATTTGGACAATATCCAGATGAAAGAGTAAGTATAATTTAATCAAATACAATTTTTGTAAAAGTTGTTTTGTTTGTAGGCGACAAATGAAACATCTTTGCAACAGCTAAGCTCATTCCTTCAAAAACTACAGTCTTCGGGTTATTTTAAACCTGTTACTTTAAAATTTTATGTAAAGAACAAAGAAAAAAAGGATTCTGATGGTAATTTTAACCATAACGTTTCAAACCACTATAGTTATGTACATATTTCTAGAATCATTTCGTCTAATTAAAATATATCTCAAAGAACGAGAAATTAGGGCTGCCATCCTAAATATTCTAAAAAGTTGTAATTTGTCAACAGATTATTTAGAAAAAATTTCTAAGGACCCTGTTGAAAAAGCAATGAGTGATACCAATAAAGTAAAAGTTAATGATATTGACTTAACAAAACTTAATAAAAACCATCCAATTTTTGCCACTATGACCATGACTCAAAATATCAAAAAAGCTCAAAAAGAACTAAGGTTAAAAAATTGGTTGAAAAAGAATTTTGCAATGGCAATTACAATTTATGAAAGTGGTAAGCCTTCCAGATGTGAAATAGAAAGATTACGATTAGATCTCATTGAAAACTTGGGCCTGCAGAATATCAAATGGGAATGCGGTTGGAACAATACACACTTTAGAGGTTGCCTGCTTTCATTTAAATCACTAGTTGACCAACATCCCCAACATTTGCATTTACTAAAAGGTAAGTAAAGATTTCTTATTAAATGTAATATAGTCTTTTAAATAAGAAATTTAAAAACCATATTTCCAGAGAGGACGTTAGTATTTTCATACTTTACCGGGATCAGTTTAGATGGACATGTCATGCTATTTAGTGGAGAAGTTCGTCATAATTGGCTAGATGTACATGATCAAAAATGTTTTTTTTTAATAATACCTATTTGCATTTTCAGTTTATTAAAAACATCCCACAGCATGACGCTTCTTTAAAAAGACTGCCAATTTATGAAAAGACTTTATCCCATGTCTTAAGAAATATTAAAGTAGGAAGAAGGTGAGTATACATTTAAAGTATTATCGATACATTACTAAATTTAATTGAAAATGTCTTAATTGTTTAAGTACTGATGTACTAAAATTTCATTCAATCACAAGAACAGTTTATAGGTGCAAGTACATACAAGATGGATATCCAATTTTAATCAATATTACAGAAAATTTATGCCTAAAGTTATGGTGGAGGAATATGAAAAGAATCTTAAACAAGTTACAACTGCTTTGAGTGATTATAGTGGACATAGGCCATTTCCAAAAAGTTGGCCCAGTTCATTAGACAAATTTGAAATTGTTGTTGAAAGGTTAGTATCGCTACATTATAATATGCAAATATATTTTGAATATATTAATGAATTAATAAAGTTGACTCGAAAGTTTGAATCTTGGTCTAATTTCATTAATTCATTTCATACAAAAACTTCTGAAAACAAAAATAGTTTATTGTTATTGTCATATTCCAGAAGTTTGATACAACATTTTGTGTTTTAGTGAAGCTGGGCCCATGATGGTCTCCCCAACAGGCCAGTTTATAGTGCCATCTTCTATACCAGGATCATTACTTGTAAATTTCATTACAAATCACTTAAATGAAGCTAGTCAGAAAATGGCAAATTATGAAAGGTAAATAAATATCATAACATACCTTTACAGAGTTAGCAACATAAAGAAGTTTTTATTAGTAAAAATTGGTAAAATATTATAGAACTAATTAATTGGGCAAGAAATATTTTCCCACTCTTTATCAATAAACATTTTTCCCATACATTCCAAACTTTTTACTTTGATAAACAATTTTATTAACATAGTTTATTTTGACGAAAAGTTTTGTCTTATATGTTCTAACATACTTCAACAATTTTTATTTAGGTCGAATTTAACTTAAATATTATTTATTTTAGAGATAAATATGTAGAACGGTCCTTATATAAAAAATGCTTGGAAGATTTAAGGCTCTCAGCTCTACTTAAGGATGATAATATTACCCCTGAATTAATGATTCAGTGTTGCCAGAAGCTTTTGCATAATAAACGTGAAATAAGTGACTACACTTCTGGCATTCATTTGAACATTGCTACATATTACTCGGTTTTATCTGATGGTGTTGTTTGTATACCATGGAACTTTGAACTTTAGTGTCCAGTCAAAAAAGGATATGTGAATTTTTTGGTGCAAATAAAATGTGATAGTAAGTGCTGTTTTTGTAGCATTGACCCTATATCTAAAGGAGACCCAGCAAAGTAAAACAACAATATGACTGCTTCTGATGTTATAATTTTATCGGTAATTATTTTTATCTTTTAAAAATAAAACACTGCAATTTATTCATAAGATTTGTATTATGTTAAAAATATTTACAATCATCTTATGAGAAATCATAGTTCAGTCCATTTTATACAATACATTGGTACTGCTGAATGTGATTTTCTTTTAACAAGATATCAACCATCTTGATGATACTGGTACAAATCTCAACAAATGCCCTTTTAGAATGTACAAATGTGTAGAGGTAATGTGATGGAAAAGCTTCTTCTTAAAATGCAAACTCAAATTGAAATGAAAAAAAAACATTATTATTGCCAAGATCAAAAATATTCTTGAAAAAACACTTAAAACAAAGGCCACACACTCACCCATACATTTATTTACACAATAATAAATAAATTACTCTTCAATTCATAATTCTTCTATCACTTGGCAAAAACCAGCAACGATTGATCCTAGTTAAAATGAAACCGGAACTGGAATGGGCTGCCATGGAAACTTTGGAAATGATGGAAATTGGCGTGCATGTTGTTTGATTTGCCAGATTCTGGATCTAAAGGGTCTTCTCCATTATCATACATTCTTCGTTTTTCTTCATCTGTTAAGACCTATAATAAGACAAGGTAATTGTGGCAAAATGTTTATTATTTCAACTATTACCTCCTTTGCAGCGGCGATATCAATAAACTTTTTCTCAGCTATTTTCTTCATTTTTTCGTCTGTCTGATAATTGTCGGGGTGCCACTTTTGAGCCATTTTCCTGTAAGCTTTAATGATTTCTCTTTTAGACGCGTTTCTCTTAACCCCCAGAATTTTATAGTAGTCTCTTTTTTCTGCTTGTTTCTGCCTATTTTCTGCTTTATTTAATCCCTCTTTAGCCCTATCAAAATGTTTGTCAAATTCCAAAGCAGCTCTAAAGTCCCTAATTGCATCATCATATAACTCTGATTGTAGGTAAGCTTCTGCTCTATCACAGTAAACATTTGGTTCTTCACTAATTGCAAGTGCTTCTGTGCATGCTGTTACTGCTTCCTCTGTCTGCTCTTCATTAGAATAGCAAGCACACAGTATTCGCTTTGCTTCAAATATTATTGGCTGTATATCTTTCTCATGTTTCAAAACCTGGTAAAAATTATTTTAATATATACCATACTTGATAACATTTATTGATGGCGTACCTTGTGAGCTGCTTCAATGCCCGCTTGATAATTCTGGTTCTCTAAGGCAGTTTGCGCGTCCACAAGAAATTTTTCAATTTTCTTAATTTTTTTATAGAATGGGAAACAATCCTTGTGTTCTGGATCTAATTTTAAACACTCTCTTATAGATTTGAGAGACTCAGTGGCGTGACCAATTTTGTACAACATTTGAGCCAATTTAAAGTAACCGTTTGTGTTGTCACTCTGTAATTTTGTCGCTGACCTTAAAAACAATATAAAATTATCTCAAGCACCCTCCTTTTTTTCAGAAGTCAATTGATCTGATATTATATTATGTACTATAAATTCTAACTTATGTACTCTTTCTTACTTAACTTAAGTTTACAATGGTCTGGAAATAATAAATGAATGAATTAATGAATGAATCGCGGAGTTGAGGGGCAATTGGCAAAAAGATTCATTATAAAGGTTGCAGTCCAGAAAAATTTAAAATGCCTAATTCAAAGTTGACAGTTGTGTCCTTGGTGCATCACTATTTATTTGTTAGATTGTTTATGCTTTAGTGTGTTCTTTGCCATAACTCTAAGTTATCTTGTAAGCAATTATGTTACAATTTTCATGTATTTTGAAACAGCACTTCCAGAGAGTAATAAATTAATTACAAAAAAATCAATAAGGAGAGGAGTTTTTTTAAACATCATTTCTAACACCATCTTGGGATAAAGAACTACATCTTTATCTTTAAGTTTGAATAATTTAGACAAATACCACAATTTGTAGTATGTAAAATAATTTATGCCTGGCACCTAAGTGGGTTCTTGTTCATTTCTTTAAAAAGCTTCTTTGCACTATTAACTTCAAAAATGTAGGGAATGTTTGACCCCATTCAGTCTGAAAGGGTAAAGATGGCTCACCGACACTACTCCACTGACTAAAACTATAAACCTTACTTTATATCTGTTATAGCAGCCATTTCATCTCCATTTTCTAAGTGCATTTCAGCTCTAAACTCATACAAATCAGCGGCCCATGGGCTTGTTTCTAGTGCTTCTGTTAGATAATGTATGGCACTCACATAATCATTCCTGGCATAATAATATTCAGCACTTCGTTTCTTCTCTCTTGCAGGGTCTATTCTTTGAATAAACTCATTAGCTTCCACATTATATGGATCATTTTTTAACTACAAAAAACATCAGATAATAACAATATCACTTAATTTAAAATAAGTTTTAAATAGTACATCAGAAAAATGAAAAATGCATACTTACAACATTATAAAAATCAAGTTGAGCTACATCATAACTTGCTTGCTTTAAATGTATATTTCCTCTACTTATCCTAGCAGATGTAAAATCTGGTTTTAATTCTAGCACTTTGTCAAAATCACTAAGCGCATTTTTAGCTTTTCCCAAGGCTAAATAGACAGTGCCACGTTTAAAATAAGTTAAATAATTATTGGGGTCTCCCTCTGAAAAAGAAATTATAAATAACAACTGATACTACAGTAATTTATAATAAAACAAGCCACAGTGAAACTTTGAGGGAAAAAAGAATCTTCGACTAATAAATTTAAGGATTAGTTTGTGCAATTGCTATCAAATATCAACACACCTACTGCTGAATGGTAATGACTTAGAGCATCTGCTAATTGGCCTTTAGCTAAATAATTTCTTCCCAGTTCTAAATGTCTATCAATTTCTGCTTGGCTCGTGCATTCGGAAACTAAAAGTATTATTTAAAATTCCAATACGATTCCAAACTTGTAGATAACCTACCGTCTATTAACAATTCTAAAGCAAGTAGCGCTAAATAAGGAGTTAATTTAAACACAATATTTTTATGCATCATATCCATAACACTGTCACCGGCCGTAAACATTATTAAACACTATTTAATATTCCACTATTTTAACGAATATCGTAACTTTTATTACTTCTACTTTACACCAAAACATTTCAATCGTGGTATCAGCTGATTGGTCCAACTCATTTGTTCATGCTCTTTGGAAATGCGCACTGGAAATATTTGAACAAATTGGTTGATGTCAGTAAAAGTTGGTAAGGCTAAACTGTTAACGTAAATGTTTATTGCCTTTTTAAACTCTGATTATTAACCTTAATTTAATCACAATATTTTATTAAAAAGTCGGTAAAACTATAGAAAACTAGTTATAAAAAGCAAAAATACAGATCAAGATCGTAAATATAAGCAATTCTTAACAATTGACTTCTTAGAGGGTGGATTCAAATGAGGACCTATGATAAATAATAATGGCTTATTAATAGAAAAAAAATGCAGTTAGATACCGACTCGACTTTGTGGCATTCTGATTTTATAAGGCCATTTTTTTCTTTTCCGCTTTAGAATGCCAATCCAGCGAGCCTGGTCGATAACCCAACTTACTCTTTCCCAACGTGTCACTAAACGAAGAGAAAACTGATCTCGCCCTCTGGTGGTCGGGTAAAAGATCTTTTGCAACATTTTGTTGTTCGGTGGGTTTAAATTATTATTGTTCTTAATCCAGGAAAATATTTTTGTGAAATGACTTGAATTATGCAAAAAATATTGATATTTTTGTTTTAACAAAAACATCTTTCTCCAATTTCTACATAAACGTAAAGTTTTAACATCGTATTTAGAAGGATGTCTACGGATTTCTTTGATATAATTTTGACAGCGAACTCTAAATTTTAGGAATGGCCGATACTACGGTTCTGAAGAAGCCCAAAGGCAGCAAAAAAACACCTAAGGAAGCCTCTGCGGATGCTTCCGAGAAAAAGTCTGTGGGGAGAAGGAGGCCTATTAAAAGACATGGGAGGCTTTACGCCAAAGCTATTTTTACAGGTTATAAACGTGGACTTCGTAATCAGCATGAAAATACGGCGTTGCTAAAAGTGGAAGGTGCATCCTCAAAACCAGATAGCTGGTTCTATGTAGGCAAAAAATGTGTATATGTTTATAAAGCGAAAAATAAGACGTGTGTACCTGGAAAACCAAAATCGGTTAAATCTAAGGTACGCGCCATTTGGGGAAAGGTTACAAGACCGCATGGGACCAGTGGAGCTGTCAGAGCTAAGTTTAAGAGGAATTTGCCAGCCAAAGCTATGGGGCATCGCATTCGGATTGTAAGTACATTACTTAATAATTTATTTATTTATTTATTATTTAGTTTGCAATTGAGCTATTCTAAAGTTAAGATTTCATTGATTATTTATATTTTATTTTTCAGATGCTGTACCCTTCAAGGATATAATGTTTATTTTTTTTGTAATTAATTTAAACCAAAATACTTAAATAAAAGGATTTTGGGTTTGAAAAAATTGTTTTTTTTAATTGATAACCCTTGTAGTCTGACATAAGGACCATATGTAAAAGTATAAATTAAGTTTTGGATGAGGTTATTTGGACATCTGTAATTGGGTTAATAGAACTGCATATTTAAATTTAAATTATCTGACTATGTTGCATATAGTTTTTGGTTAATTTTTTTCGCTTGATTTTGGAAGTTTGAAATTCTTAATAGTAGAAAAACCACTTGTGAATTATATTGTCCACACATAAACCTGGCTCAATATTCTGTTAATTATCCACGAAAATCAAAAGTAAGAAGAAATTACTCTAACCTAAAACTTCTTTTGTTATTGTCGAAAAATTATTCTTTATTTCTTTCCTATCAAGTTTAAAATTTGGCGTTTCAAGTAGGAGATGAGTAAAATCGTAAATTCTAAGGCTAGATCCATTCGTATGTGGATTCATGGAAAATGTTTCAGTGTCAACAAATTTAATCCTAGTACTTTTTTAAAAATGCCAGGTAACCAAGCTTTTAGGAAATTAAACTAGTTTTAAACTTTTTTTAATATTATGTTATAAAAAATCATAATAATATTAACAATTTCTTTCCGACAAATAATTAAACTCTCTAAGATGTTCTCCTGTTCTTTTGAAAAACACAAGGTTAAAATATTTCCATCATATTGAGCATATAAGAACCAGACAGGAAAACAAAAATACTAATAAATACAAAAAAAAGTTGAAATTGTCAATTACGCTACTCTAGTATCAAAAAGAACTATTTTCACTATCCAATTCTAGCATTATTTTTATTTTTGTAATAGAAAAGGGAACAGGAGCTGGATTCATTGTCCAGCTCTGGGTAGCATAATTTTAATTTCTCAGTTGCGTTTTAGTTTTAGCCCCTTTTTTATTTTCATTTAATTTCATGCGTGTGTGTGTTATTTTTTAATGCTCAGACGATTAACATAATGTGTGTTTTTGAATAGGTTGAGAGTTATTAGAACCTTGTGCTATCCATGCTTAAGATTATTACTATTTCCCACTAACCCCGAAAAGTCAGGGAATAATTTAGTTACCAACCAGGAATTTTTAAATTAATCGGAATTTTTTATACCATCCATTGTTTTTCAACCCTGTTTTCTGTATATTAAGAGTTTGATACTTTTTAAACAACTAACCCCGAAAACAAATCCATTGAACAAAAAAAACTAAGGGAGGCATATTCATTATTGAAGAAGATGGTTTCATATTTTTATTTTATCTTTAGCCAAAATCAAATATTAAAAAATTATTCGCTTGACTATTACTACTCGTGTTTTTAGCATTTCTGAATGTTTGAAAAGAAGTTTAAGAAGGTAATTTTTTTTTTATCTTTTTTATCAAAATGTAGTTATGGTAAAATAGCGTGTTTTTTCTAGATTTTTATCATTTTCTATTATTGCTTTCTAGATATAGTCGGCGTTTTACAATATAAAGTTTCGCAGTTAAAGATATTGCATAATCGAAAGTTTCGTAGTTCATTAGGTATATCCTCCTCATGGTTAAATTTAATTTAAATTCGATAATTAGTATTATGTGTTGTTATAGTAAAAATAAAGTTTAAAACAATTTATTATTTGTAACAAATTCGTTAATAGAGTTTTTGTGGAGATACATTCTCAATATGCAGAAATATTTATGTTTATTTTAATTTAATGAACATTTGTAGTTTGAGAAAGACCTACTTTCATGATTGCGTCAAACTAAATTATTACTATTAGCGCTTTAATGACGAACTGGACAGTGCAATGTTGCCGATTCTAAGAATAATATATGGCAACATCATTATTTTTTTCTACTCGCGTCTGTAATAGTATATTATGCAACAAGTGCAACAATAAACGAGTGAGTTCAAAAGTTTACCGAACGTGTTGCATATTATACTTTTTCTACGACTGTTAGTTTGACAAACGTCAAAATTCAAAGCGTGGGAAATATCTCCGAAAACATCCGATTGCTCCCAAACCCGTGCGGAAAATCCCGGAAATGTCCGGCTCGGATTCGTGGGAAACGAAACTGACGTGGTAAAGCGACGTTTCCCGCACGCTAGATCGGTGGGTAATTAGGCATTTTACAGACGGGAGTAGAAAATATATCTAATTACCTACCGATCTAGCGTGCGGGAAGCGTCACTTTACCACGTCAGTTTCGTTTCCCATGAATCCGAGCCACTTCGGACATTTCCGAGATTTTACCGCACAGATTTGGGAGCAATCGGATGTTTTCGGAGAATTTTGACGTTTGTCAATTCTGACGGGTATGTCAGTGAATGTATTCGTGTTTTTTTGCGAAAATGTACCTCAAAACTAACTCGTAGGAAAAGTATAGTATGCAACACATTCGGTAAACTTTTTAAGTCACTCGTTTATTAAACACTCGCTCCGCTGCGCTTCGGTCGTGCCAAATAAACTCGTGGCTCAAATGTCGTTTACTGCACTTGTTGCATAATATACTATAAGCGGCATACTATTTATTTTATTTCATCCACTGCTTTATTTTGTGATTATTTTTCCTTAATATCTTCTTATACCTACCTAGTGCGGTTTACGAAATATTAGGGTGACATTTATGTTGCAGTATGTGCAAGCGTCGTATATTGGATTTATCTAATTAAATTTAATTGATAATATACACGACCTAATCAAAACTTTATTTTTTCCCGTAGGACAGCCTGTAAAACTGAAAAAGATGGAGAATAGTGGTCGGGGATTTTCGATATAATCATAATTCTTAAAAATCATATTACTTTGACACGTTTTTCCTAGCTACTAATGATTACTCAGTTAGTCTTTTAAAACAGATTCCAAAGTTTTAAAACATTTTATGATGTTCTACTTAACATTAAACATTTTTTTTTACTTCGCAAGTCGCCCCAAACAAAGCGACATCGATTAAAAATATTGCCAGAAAAAATGAAAATAAACAGCTGAATTTCATTTTTCCTGATATCGCCGCAATTTTGAACAGGATAAAGATGTGAGAACTAAGTAAAGCACAAACAGATAAATAAAATACGTCCCAAGAAGCAAGAGAAATAAAGAAAAACCCCTATCAAACATGCCTCATTTCGATTGTCATTATCAATACGGGATGCTAACTGGTGTTATTGGTGTAAAATTTTGTGCAATAAATAATTTTCGAGTTTAAGTCAAAAGAAGGAGACTATTTCCCTGCAGAACTATCATGAAACCAGGATGAATTGATTTCGTTAATTTTTAGATGATGAAATCGAAGAGAACATTTCTCTAGAAAACTATCATGAAATAACTGAAGATAGTGGAAAATTTATAACAACCTTCCGTCTTCCAAAGTGAGGTTTACTTTAGTTTTAGTAAATAAACTTATTGACGAATATCAAAATAGATAATACCCGTATATCTTCTTTTAGATCATATTACGCGAAAATACACAATATGCCTGACTTTTGCATAAAGGAGTTATCAGACAAAACGGGAATCGAAATTATTTTACCAGAAATTGGTCAAGATGGCGAAGTTGCAATTCATTCAGATTCGAAAATGAAATTACTTAAAGCAGTGGATCAAATCCATTCGGTGGCGGCTGAGATCAGGCGAAGATATGCAGCGTTGCAATTTGTCTGCATACCTTGTTTAAGTCAAAGTGTACAAGAAAGTTTTGAAAAACTTAAGGTTCACCTTACCAATTGTGAAATAGTTATGTCAATTCATTAGTCGTGCGATTTATATTTTCAGAAGGATGTATTAGATTTGGGAATTCCTGGTGTGCATGAGTCGATATTTCAGTGTCCAAAAAAATTACATTTAACAATAAATGTATGCGTTTTATTGGACGAGACAGAGAAAAACGAAGCGGTGAATGCCCTTAATTCATACAAGACAGAAGTTCTGGAGTAAGTATTAATTTTCATCAGGAGTGTAGGAGTTTTGATTTCTAGTCAAATCCATGATAATGTTTTTGACCTGCCAGGGAATTTTAAAAAGTTCAGATTTTTTACTTTCTTATTTGTGAAAATGTTGTTTGATAGATTTTTTTTTAAAGATAAGGCAGAATGTATTGAAATAACACTAAAAGTTGCCTCTTTTCTTATGGAATACGCACTATTTTATTTGACGTATTTTGAATGTAGGAGACAACTTTGAACTTTCAGTATTGAAACTAAAACAAATTCAGATTTGTTACTATGCGTTATTGAGTGTGAAATAAACTAATTTGTATTTTCTAGTGAGGTTTTTGGTGGACGACACACCTCGGACCATTTTATGACCAAACCAAACGTACTGTGTTATCCCAGATCTCAATATTTCTGTGTCCTTCAATGTATATTTCTTATTCTTCGGGTCCTACATTTAGACTTATTGTTTCCAATATAGGACTCGCCGCATTTACAAGTGGCTTCTCAGATACACTTTTGATTCGCTGTTTCGGTCGTAGTTTTTGTGAAGACACGTTGACCTTTGACCGTTTGACCTTTTCTGATGTACGTTTAACTAATGTTTCCACGCTTACCCTGTTTCATTGCTTCAAAATAGTTGAATGATAACTTGGATATTGAACCGTATGTGTTGGTTTCGGATTCACAAGCACATCTGAAAACGGCAGACAGTTTGATTGAGAAAGGAATCCAACTGTCCATTTAGATTATGAAGATGTCGGCAACATATAGTCATATTTTGGATTTGACGATCGCATGGGTGTCAGATTATTCCGTATTTATGTATATTACTGAATGGAATGAGGATCTACACGAAAAGAAAGCTTTTATAAATAAAGAAGTCTCCTTCTGAAATGCACACTTTGGAAAATCCCCTCGTAGATCAAAAACCACGCATCAAGATGAGATTTCAACTTGTCTCGAAAATCAAACCCAGGACATGTATACTTGTATTTATAAAATTTGGAATCATTTCTCTTTATATTAGTTTATATTTATTAACTTGTAGTCAACTTCTTGGAAAAGTAGGGCCGCTAAAATTAGATATTGCTGGATTAGACTGTATGAATGGCAACGTTAAAAAAGTTAATGTATTGTACGCCAAAGCTAAAATTGCGAATGAATCTGGCGAATTTAGCTTGCAGAGTATTGTTAATGGGTTGTCGAATCATCTGTATCATAGAGGTAACTTTAAATGAAGAAATTCTACAAATAATAATGTGCTTTTGTACCAAAGATATTATATCAAAGAGATCCAACAAACCCTTAATATTTATATTATTAATAAAATTTGAACCTATCAGAGGATACGTCAGATGCTTTAAGATTTTTTTATATTTCGAATTTGGACGTCAAATTTGGTTGTTTCAATATATTAATTAAACAGTTATATAAAATAGTTTTGAACTGTTTATATTGTTTATAATCATTTTATGAATGAATTGTGTCGTTTTTGGATATAATGTCTATGGTTTGTATTTAATAACAAATAATTTTAGTAACTTGTCTAGGAACTGCTCAAAAGAATACTTCCTCTTAGGTTTGAATAAAGAATACCAAGAAAATGTCAAATTGCACATGACAATTATGAACACAAAGTATAGAAAAGTGTCTGGTAGCCCCAAAAGAAAGTGTCGTCGATTAAGTTTTGATGCCACGAAAATCATAGAGAAGTACAAGGACTATACTTTTGGACAGTGTAATTTTGACAGTATTCACTTGTCACACATAACTTCCAAGGGTGATGATGGATTTTACAAACCTGTAAAAATAATCAAGTTAGGTTTTTAATCAAAATTTTAGTTTGCCTACTACTTGTACCTGAATTTTCAAGAAGTCAGAAAATTAGAAATTAATTGAATTACCTACATTATTGCAGTATGCATTTTATGTGATACATTGTATACATATCTTTATAATTTGTTAATGACGCTTCTATAGTTTTTATTGTACAGGTTGACATTAAAAAATAAATTATATTTGAATACTTCATATTTTCTATTTATGCGTTATACATTTTTTCTAAAAACGATTTTTTAACATCAGGTTTCTACTGCAAGGGATGTTCTATAATATGCAATGTTCTTTCATTGATATTAGAGAAGGGAATGATTTTCCGCAGATGTCTATATTTCATCCAAATTGCACATGTTCTTTATAAACCGCGATTTCCACATACTCAGGGGCCATGTTGGTTATTGAATGCCCCATGGTCATTGGTTAAAAAGTGATTTTTAGTTGCGGTCTTCTCAAAAAAAAATTTCATAGTTGCATAAGGCCTCTATATCTCTAGTAGCTATATGGGTGAAGCCATATTTAGGCATGGTCGTAAGGACGGTAAATTTTTTTTTCTACTCCCGCCTGTAAAGTGCCTAATTACACACCGATCTAGAGTACGAGAAGCGTCACTTTACCACGTTAGTTTCGTTTCCCACGGATCCGAGCCACTTCGCACATTTCCGGGATTTTACCGCACGGGTTTGGGAGCAATTGGATGTTTTCGGGGATATTTCCCACGCCTTCAATTTTAACGTTTATCAATTCTGATGGTCATGTCAGTGAATGTATTCGTGTTTTGCGAAAATGTGCCCAAAAACTAACGGTCGTAGAAAAAGTATAGTATGCAACACGTTTGATAAACTTTTTAAGTCATTCGCTTATTAAACACTCGCTCCGCTCGTGACTCAAATGTCGTTTACCGCACTTGTTGCATATTATACTATTACGTACACGATGGTTCGTAGGAAAAGGCAGAGATCTTCGGACCCTAACACACTAACCAGCCATTTTCTTGCTGAACACTCGTTATTTTCAAAACATTCAAAGGAACGTGCGCATATTATATATAAAACTGGAAACTGTCAAATTGAATTGAATTGAATGGTGAAAAAACATTTGAATTTACTGCGAATGAACATATTGAATGTTTCTTTTCAGTGGCGGATAATACGTTTTTTAAATGCTACACCCTGTATATTATTGGATCTTTGATTTCGTCATCAATTTCTGATTAGTTTTGTATATTTAGCGGTTTTAGAGTAATTTGTTATTTTCCCTATTTTTTGTTCTATACATCTACAGGGTTTTTCACTTAAAACTCCGCACGCCAATAAGTCCAAAACGAAAAGAAATATTTAATTTCTGTAAAAAGTAGTCAAAGCGTGGGGTCAAGTAGATATTTCCTAAAGTTTAAAAAATTCGACGCCTGCAAAGGGCTGGGCGTCGCGACGCGTCGAAAAATTATTCGATTGCAGAGACTTTGGAAATACACGCATACAAAAGTACATATTATTTAAAAACTTTTTTGTTATTTACTCAAACTTATTTACTTTACCCGTTTCTAAGTTATACCGATTTAAAGTAAACATTTCTTGATTAATAAAAAATGTGATTAACGCTTATTTTTACAAGTATGCCATGAATGTTAGTTATTATGGCAACCATTGTTATCGCAGTTGTTTTAAGTGCAATTACAAACAATAGATTTCAACTATTTTAGAATGATTTTATTTATTATTTTTTATCGATTTAGTTCTGATAACATGATAAATAAATGAAAAAACAGTAAAATACCTACAAGTTAATAACCAGAATTATTATTGCAATTTACTACATAATAAGACATTTCAAAAATTTTGTTCAAAATTATGTCCATCTGCTCGAACACAACTATCAAAAACTTTTAACAGATGAGCTTAGGTCACTTGTAGGAGAGTCCTTCTTGTGATAGCGGCACACGCTGCACTAATTTTGTTAATGAGATCAGCCATATCTTCGATAGGTTCTTCATAGATAACGTTTTTTAGGTAGCCCCAAAGAAAATAATCTGGTGGTGTAATGTCCGGGGACCTCGCCGGCCACCTTACCGGTCCATTAGTACCAAACCATCTATTGGGATATTCTCGGTTCAAATACCTCGTTACTATTTGGGCATTATGTGCAGGCGCTCCATCCTGCTGTAGCCACATATTCATTCTAGTGTCAAGAGGCACTTCTTCTAATAGTTCCGGAAGTGTAGTTTGAAGAAATCTTAAATAGCGATCTGCATTTAAAGTTCCTTCGTAAAGGTAAGGTCCAATAAGGAATCCATTTAATATGCCGCACCAAACATTGATACTAAAAATTCGTTGGTTACCTCTTTCTGTAATCCAACGAGGATGGTTTTCGGGCCAAAAACGACGGTTGTGTCTATTAACGATTCCATTATTTTGAAATCGACTTTCGTCGCTCCATAAAATTTTCGAGAGAAAATTTGCATCTTGGCTATACAAATCGGACAATGTCACTAAGAAATACATTCTTCTAGCATAATCGCCTGGTTCTAGTTTATGAACTAGTTTACTTTTGTACGGGTGAAAAGAGTTTCTATGTAGAATTCTCCACGAAGAACTTATGGTAACACCGGTATTTTCTTTTATCTCTGATAGGGATATCTTGGGGTTATTATCAACCTGCTGAATTACAGCAGCAGTATTTTCATCATTTGTAGCCGTCCTGTTCCTATCTCTTTTAGGTTTTATGAAGCTGCCATATTCTCTTAGTTTTTACGTAAACTTGAAAAGGTTGTTGCATCGGGGACTCTTCTATGCGGATAACGCCGTGCGTAAACTCTTTTTGCCTTTCTACAATTGCATCTGCATTCTCCAAACACCAGTAACATGTCTACTTTTTCCTCATTGCTAAATTGCACCATTTTCACATAATAATTCTTAGTTTTTTTTTAACCGAACAAATTTGGATATTTCTTGTGACAAAATGTGACAATTTTTTGATACAGCAATAACAACTTACGTTTGTAATTGCACTTAAAACAACTGCCATAACAATGATTGCCATAATAACTGACATTCATGGCATACTTGTAAAAATAAGCGTTAATCACATTTTTTATTAATCAAGAAATGTTTACTTTAAATCGGTATAACTTAGAAACGGGTAAAGTAAATAAGTTTGAGTAAATAACAAAAAAGTTTTTAAATAATATGTACTTTTGTATGCGCGTATTTCCAAAGTCTCTGCAATCGAATAATTTTTCGACGCGTCGCGACGCCCAGCTCTTTGCAGGCGTCGAATTTTTTATACTTTAGGAAATATCTACTTGACCCCACACTTTGACTACTTTTTACATAAATTAAATATTTCTTTTCGTTTTGGACTTATTGGCGTGCGGAGTTTTAAGTGAAAAACCCTGTATACTGTTTATGTTATTCTAACAATTTGTTAATAAAACTAAATACACTATTATTATTAGATTCATTGTATTTGGAAGCTAAGTATGGTGCTTATTTCAAAATGCAAAATATGTTAATAAAATTGTGAACTGAATTTTGGAACACCCTATATATAGTAGAAATATTACTCGGACTCCATTCGAGCCTGGATCGGTAGTCCAGGAAATGTTCTGTTCTACTTTTTTAAGGAGTGTTAACAAAGGAACTTATGAATTATTCAAATAGATTTGTACGCCTAAATATTGGTACTATATCATTAAGAAATGCCCTATGTATTACAGACGAAAATAACTAAAATAACTACGATTATGGTAAAATGTGTCAATTTCCAGAATTTAGTGACATTATTTAAATATCCACACACGAATATCAAAAACGTCCGTCGATAAAAGCACAAGATTACAGTCGTTAACTACATATCAGTTTAGTACAAAACCTGGACGCCAAGAGACAAGTTAATATACTCGATTTTTCGGCATTCTTTGGAAGATGTTTCAACTTATTTTTGGCAAAGGGTCCCTCGAAAAACCTGACCTTTTCGTATCGTTTCGACCATTACTTTATGTATCAAACATGGTCGGCTTAACGGCTCTCAAGTGGAGCAAAATCAAGAAGACATATGTGTCATCAAATTGGCTCTTCATGTGGCAAATTCAAACCTTAATTAGCAGCATACTAATATTCATATTTTTTTTAAATACGGTTTTCGGTTTTACCGATTATTTTGGAACTATGGACAAGGTATCTTATGTATACATGTAAATTTTTCTTTTTTAGGAATTTTGAGTTTCGAGTACGACATCTAAACACATTATTTCTTTTTTTTTTAAGAACGTGTATCTCTTTTTTCTATTCCCTACTCTAAAATACCCAAATATTCACTGATCAACCATTATATAACTAGTAACATAGAACAACATTATATAACTAGTCTCTCTCTCTCTCTTCAGTCGTTGTCCGTTTTCGGACGTCGTGACTCGTTCATGGATGTTGTGTAGTGACCCTTCGCCAAGCTTCTCTGTCCTCTACAGTACGCATCACTTGTGAGACCGACATTTGTGTGAGCTCCTTTATTTGATCTATATATCTCACTGGTGACCTTCCTCTTGCCCTTTTTCCATCAACCTTCCCCTGTATCATGAGTTTTTCCATACCGTCCTTTCGTATTACATGACCGAAGAATTTAAGCATACGTCGTTGTATTGTTGGTAATAATCTCTCATTTTCCCGTACTTTTAGTTCTCTTAAGATGGATGCGTTGGTGCGGTATGCTGTCCAGGGTATTCTCAGCATTCTTCGGTAGCATATCATTTCAAACGCCTCAATTCTTCTTCGAGATGCAGCATTTATGGTCCAGGATTCCGAGCCATACTCTGCAATGGGGAACACTAAAGATTTCACAAGTCTTGTTTTAGTTTCCTTGCGGATACGGTGGTCTTTCCAGATTTTAACCAGCCTTCCCAAAGCCTCCTTTGCCATCCCAATTCTTCTTTTAATCTCTTGTTCTGAACCACCTCTATTTGTTATCTTCGTGCCCAGATAAATAACCTCTTCTTTAACTTCTATGTCATGGATTTGCTGCAGTGGTAAAGGAACTGTTCCTGCCCGGTCTATTATCATCAGGTGGCATTTAGATCTATTTAGTCGCAGTCCGCACTCCAGGCTTACTTGCTCGATTCGTTGTAATAGTACACACATTTCTTGTTCGTTTTTAGCCACTGCGAT